AAAACGAAAAAGTAGAACATCGCGACGATCGAAGATATTTTGAGAACCTGGATAGAAGTTCGGGGTAGGGACCCCAGTGGAAACGCTAAGATGGAAGCCGAGGTGTCCTCTCGAGTGTTTTCGCAAGACTGGAGTCGAACCCTTGGAAAAACAGACGCCAAATTGAATCCCTCGCCTATAAGAACGTGATGTCTCTCCCTTATCTATATAACTCTACCACTCGAGAGCCTTTTCCTTCCCCGGCGTTTCTAGAGTTTCTTCGTCCACGGATTACACGTCTATCTGTATTTCTCGCGCAAGAGCCGCCATCGCGAGAAGATTCTTCGAAGATCAGCCTTCCATAAGATACACGAAACTTTCATTTTCGAGAGAGTCGATGCTGCAACTACGACGAGGCCGAGAAAATCATCTTTCTTTCCAATAATTCTTAATTATTTTTTAAATTAACCAGATGGGAAATTGTTGAACTTAAGGCATTGAAGTTAAGTAGACAGGCACGTAGTTGAGTTATGGGAAATCAAATTGTGAAATTACGGACACGTAATTCACGCGAAATTAAGTTGTGTGATATCAGATGAAACAATTGCAATAAATACGACAAGTCCTCGTTTCCGGATGATGTTCCCTACCTGATCATATCTTAACCACACTATATACATGTAGCTGCAAAAAAACTCCGAGAAAAATAGCGAAAAAAAATTTGTCACTTATTAGCCTTGAGCGAAGTGTGAACACTGTGTCGTCAGACGCGGCGAAATAAGAGGATGGCAAATCGATCGTTATGAGAAACACCACGTGGTTGTGTCACTTCTAACTATCTCGCGATCCCGCGACCATTCGTATTATCCGTGTCGAACAGTAACCAAGGCTCTCAAATCCTCTCCGTGAAAGACAAGAGACTGAGAGTGATGGAACAAACCGTTGTTTCAGCTTCAGCAGCAGATCTCGTGAAAATCGTCGGATCTGACGGATGTAACGATGTGTCGGAAAGTATCCGACGGCCGCGAGGTACGCGCGCGGAAAAATTTCGCGTGCGCTCTCACACCACACACACCACAGGGCGATGCTCATTGTTTCGCTTTTGTTGCGTCGGCCCTGCGCGAGTCACGAGGGCGTGACTGAGTTAGGAGCGTGGCACGATCCTTGGTAACGTAGCCGCATAGGCGTCCACGGTTTTCCCTTTAATACCGTCCCTGCGATTGGCCGACGCACGTAGGTGGAGTCACATGATTGGCGGCCGGCCAATCACGTGGCCCGTTGAATAACAGGCGTCAGGCTGCGACCGGGTTTCCTGGTGATTTTTCGATGTGAAACGGCACGCACGAGTCGCGCAGCCGTGCTGCCCGACGCCCGAAACACTTCTACCTCGCTGGCGAGGCCGAGGCCCCAGTGTGTTTTTACTCGGGGTTGAGTAAACTCCGGCCTGTTGTGTATCATAATACGCGTGCACGCGGGTTTACGGGTTAGCCTCGCATCGACCACTGGATGCACCCTTGTCTCGCACCACGCCGCGCCGCCTGTCTCTTCCTCGATCGACGCGGCTAACTTCCACAGACTACAGAGATATTCCGAAGCGTCAACAAAACACCATTTAAACGGGTTAACGAGTAAACGAACGTCCGCCGTCTCCGTCTACCGCCGACGGAATTGATAATCCACCGACGACCGTATCGAACGATGCCGCGCTCGAGAGTTTGAACGACTGACTGTCATCAACATCTTCCGCAAATCTCATCATCCACGTCGGCCACGTCGGTCGCATCTTCATCGTTTAGTGACTTAAGTGTAAATAAGCGAGAGTGACTGATCGAAATCAGTGAGTGAATCATATGTACGAGAGATCCAAGTTCAACTGCCATCACCACACAGGCGGAAGCATTCAACGCGTTGCATTAAAGAAGAAGAAAAAAAAAATGTCGGTATTTTAAGTATATATACGTACATACGTGTACGTGGTGATCTAAATACGTTATACAAATTCGCGTGTCACAACAGGTGCCGTTCCCGATCCGAACCCGTTTTACGATAGACCACCATCCTCGGTGGGTGTCTGAACACCACGAGTGAAGACACCTCGTCGTTCGTAAAGATGCATACGCTGTTCAGCGAGCAGAATGCATATTACAGGCACGCAACGGCGGTTCCCGTTGGAATGGGAACTCCATCGTATCCTGGAGTGGGTGCCGCGCCGGGATACTACGAGCAGTACCGATACGGCGGTTATGCGACGGCGGCAGGTTACCCGGTCTCAGGTATAACCCAGCAACACATCCACCATCCTGGCAAGGATATGGTGAAACCCCCGTATTCCTACATAGCTTTGATCGCAATGGCAATACAGAATGCACCGGACAAGAAGATCACGCTGAACGGGATCTATCAGTTTATCATGGAGCGATTCCCTTATTACCGCGAGAACAAGCAGGGCTGGCAGAACTCCATCAGGCACAACCTCAGCCTGAACGAGTGTTTCGTGAAGGTGCCAAGGGACGACAAGAAGCCCGGGAAAGGGAGCTACTGGTCGCTGGACCCGGACAGTTACAACATGTTCGATAACGGTTCTTATCTCAGGCGTCGTAGACGCTTCAAGAAGAAGGACGCCCTGAAAGAGAAAGAGGAGGCTCTAAAGAGGCAAGGCTTGGTGCCTGACAAGCAGCGTAATCAAGAGGAAACGAAACCTAGTAACATAGTGATACAGCCACCGTCGGACCCGGCTACCAAGAAACTGGCCACCCTGGAAACGACTCTGTGCAAACCGAAGAGGGAGCCGGTGAACGACACTGGCAGCCATTGCATGGCCGTGCAAGCGAAATACGGCCTTCACAGTCCGATTCAAGACACGAAGACGGCGGTAACGACGACGTCGGCCGTCGCTGTAGCTGGCCAAAGCGTCATCCAAACGGCTCTGGGTCATCAAGTGCATCAAACCCATCAGGTTCATCAAGACAGCATTCAGGACGTATCTATGGGGCTAGATCCCACTAGTTTTAGCGTGGACGCTCTAATGACGACGAGAGAGAACAGCGCAGCCTTGATGACCAGAGATAATCAGCATCACACGCATCATCCCCACGGTCTTCAGCATCCTCACCCTCACTCGCACTCGATCATGACGAGCAGAGAGTCGATGGGCGCCGGGGTAGTCTCCAGGGACCATTTGCCCTCCGTTTGCACGACCACGACCACGACGACGGCCGCCGTCGCGGCAATGATGGCCACCACCGGATACGGTCACAGCAGCACCGTGTCTAGGAGCAACGGTTCGCCGCCCGGAACCATGTACGCGCCTTATTGCACGCCCACGGCTGGTTACATAATGGATCACGCGGAATACAATTCGAGAAACCATACCAATACCGCGGCACACTCGCAATGGTACCAAGAGGCAGCTAGCCCCGACGCTGCCGCCATTTATCAGGACACCCAGTCACCAAGCTGTCAGCTTTACAGGTAATAACGAAAAAAAAAAAACAAAAAAAAAGGACCAACGGTGAATCTCGTCTCGAATTCGTTTGTTTTATCATCGATTTTTCCTCAACTGGCTAGTATTCCTTCTCTCGTATACGAATGGACACGATTATTTGGAGATTGAAATTATCGCACAATCCAACCCGGTGAATTCGTTTCGTTCTTCTTCTTTCAATGCAATGAAGATTTAATCGCTTGAAATTAAAGATTGTACAATAGTAGAGTAAAGAAAGCAACTCTGTAATGTAAATAGATATTGAAATATAATGTTGTACTGTAACATGACAGTGTGACACAGTCAGATTGTCGCTGAACTGAAAGTAAGAAAAAAAGAAAAAAAGGCACGATCTTTTGGAATCACTTGAAACTAACGGATGTTCGATTTTACGAGTGAAATTTGTAGTGGGTGAAATTCACATCCACACGGGAGAAAAGTGTAGGTATCGATCGCAAAATGTCCACAATTTGCAGATCCAGCCCGCCAACTCCACTCTCGTCGAGTGCGGCTCCGTCGCCACCTTTGTATCATCGATATTACCAAGACTGCAACACCGTCAACACCAGCGGCAATCTACCCATCACATTGCACAAATACTGAGAATACCGAAATTCAAGGCCTCATCACCGAGGTCTTGAAGAACACCACACCGAACACTACGACCCGAGCTTGGTTTACGTGAAGCAAGAGTGGATCCCGTGCACGGACGAGCTCGCCAAAGAGTGGAATTAGATGATAAGTCCAGGAATGCATCGATGAAACGGCGCGAAAGTAACAGCAATTTAAATTTCTCGAAATTTGCAGAACACACACTGTACGAATTGCACGATACGTACGTTATTGTAGATATTTAATCGTTATCGCGTTATTTCATAACAATATCGTGAACGTGTAAACGTAGCAAAAGAGTATTAACGAATAGAAGAATGTCGAAGAGCTTGTAACAAAAACGACTCTTGCTCGTTATTTATTTCGAGTAACCATTCATTTTCTATTCGATTCGGTTCTCGCCAGTATTCTCAGAAAATGCTGAAAGGAAACTTTTATTAACAATAATTCAGTTTGTGCGATCTAATGCAATAGAAATTGGATCAAGATTAAATTATTTTTTTTTTTT